AGCTTCAACTTCATTATCCAAGCTAAGTTTATCCTGTGGATCTTGTGAGGCAGACATCAGTGAAGGTGAGGACATAATTATGTAGGGTAAGTCATAACAAAAGCTATGTAATTTTTGACTTTTTCAATTTGGATGTTTTGTCTAGATCTTTTCCACGCAGATTTAGATCTTTTTAGATATTTTTTGACACCGTTTTGGATATTTTTTGTCAAAGAAAAGTGGCAACACTGTTCACATCACACATCTCGGAAATCCTCACAAACTACCTGTTACGTTGCCATAACAATTCATCACGACCACCCACTCCTCTCCCCCTCTCCAATCTCTGGTCATTAAACTAGCATCCGGTTACCCCTCGTCTTCGCATTTTCTGCCTTGACAACTTATCCAGTTCTAACTAGACCCGGCCGTACCTCCCTCCTCCTTGGAGACCAGATCACAAATACCAGCTCCAAGTTACCGACCAGGATTTGCCTAATTTGGCATCACCTTCTCACTTCACAGACACAAGACGTCTGGCCAAGAAAGCTACAAAATATTGATTAGAAACGGCAAACTATGTTATTACTGCCGAAGTAGGTCATAGGTGGCAATCTTGTGCGAAGTATTTCCCAGGTCTCACTCGTTGCTGTCTTTAAGAGCTGAAATTATAGAACGATTGGACGTTGCCTAAACAATAGTTTGATTTTCAGCGATGTCGGTCACTTTTTGATTGTTTTGTCTTTGCGAGGAGAACAAAATGGGGGAAGGGTGGGAGGCTCGTAGAACTCGCTGACAATGAATACAAAGAAATGATAAAAGTGGAGGATGGATGGACAGACAAACAGAAGATAGATAGATAGATAGATAGATAGATAGATAGATAGATAGATAGATAGATAGATAGATAGATAGATAGATAGATAGATAGATAGATAGATAGATAGATAGATAGATAGATAGATAGATAGATAGATAGATAGATAGATAGATAGATAGATAGATAGATAGATAGATAGATAGATAGATAGATAGATAGATAGATAGATAGATAGATAGATAGATAGATAGATAGATAGATAGATAGATAGATAGATAGATAGATAGATAGATAGATAGATAGATAGATAGATAGATAGATAGATAGATAGATAGATAGATAGATAGATAGATAGATAGATAGATAGATAGATAGATAGATAGATAGATAGATAGATAGATAGATAGATAGATAGATAGATAGATAGATAGATAGATAGATAGATAGATAGATAGATAGATAGATAGATAGATAGATAGATTTTTTTTAACGTATCCAGAAACCATGAGTTGTAAACCCTTTGGCTCGGTACTATGGATATTGCAACCCTTCGGCATTGATTCCATTATAGGTACCGTTACTCTGGGAGAAATGTGGCTTTTCTGCCTACCCCCGGGAGTGAACCCGGACCACAAGGAGTTCGTCACCCGGCGGCCGCGAAAGTCAGGTTTAACCAACTTCGCTAGAGAGCCGGGCATAGATAGATAGATAGATAGATAGATAGATAGATAGATAGATAGATAGATAGATGGATGGATGGACGGACGGACGGACGGACGGACGGACGGACGGACGGACGGACGGACGGACGGACGGACGGACGGACGGACGGACGGACGGACGGACGGACGGACGGACGGACGGACGGACGGACAGACAGACAGACAGACAGACAGACAGACAGACAGACAGACAGACAGACAGACAGACAGACAGACAGACAGACAGACAGACAGACAGACAGACAGACAGATAGATAGATAGATAGATAGATAGATAGATAGATAGATAGATAGATAGATAGATAGATAGATAGATAGATAGATAGATAGATAGATAGATAGATAGATAGATAGATAGATAGATAGATAGATAGATAGATAGAAAAGAGACATATTCGTTAAAAGACACCATACTCTAATGATAGTTTTTTTTTTTTTTTGTTAATCATTTTAGATCTACGGAAACAGAATTTCAGAGTTTATCCAGGATGAAAGTTGAAGATCTAGTGCAGCCAATGTGCATCCATCCTCGAGGCGGCACTTGACAGGCAGACAGCAAGCACACTGAAGAAATCTGAAAGTCAAATTGTGACAGTGGACACCCGCGTCAACTTGTGTCTTTAGTCATATTTCGTGGTGTTCATTTCTTTTAATAATGCGACTTCCCTGCCACTATCTTCTTCTATTGTTTCTTGGCGTCTGTAAACTCCGGTGGAAAGTTCTCATTGTACGTTCATCTCTGGATTTATTCTTGTTCTAGAACCGGAATGTGGCGTGTACATCCGTTTTACAGATCTGGATTATCTGTATGCATACCGATGGTTCCGATGCATTCCGACTTTGAAGGAAGCCCTCGTTTAGTCGACCTTACGACATGCTTGCTGAGGAGGCAGTGGGTATATTTTTGTTTCCCAGACAATGGGGTCCGCAAACCCACACAGTACTGCTATCAGAAAGCTACACTGCCTTCGTTTTTCTACGCAACCATCAATTTTTTTTACGACACGCTTCTTAGAATCAGTGGATCTATACTATTCCCGGACCCCGGAACTCACGCGGGAACGAAAAGATCTAAAGGAGACATATCAATCTATGAATTTATCTACCAGTACCGTCCTCACGTGAAGACTGACAGCAACAGAGCTGAGAGAAATATCTGGTGCCGTGGTTGTTCTTCAAAATGCTGGCCAGCATTCAACTTTTCCTTACGGTGTGGGTTTTTTGGAAACTTTGAAGCACGGTAGACTGCCGTCGGCGTAGGTTTTTTTTTCAAGATTTCACATGCATGAATCAAATTAGTCTCAGCGCTCAAATTTATGAAGTCTGACTCCAATGATGAACATACACGCCACCTCACTCTGAAATCTGAGCAGTTACTTTGTAGTTATGGTGCCTTGGATTTATATCTAACAGATGAGCTGTAGCATTTTCGTCCTCCTCCTCCTCTATATCACCATCATCACCATCACCATCATCATTGCTGTGGGGATTTTTTCACGTGAACTTCTAGTAATTCCCCGGTGGTCTCCTGGTAGTAAGACCGGACTCCCGTGTGTATTGTTGCTCACGTAAAAAAATACATTTACAGTTGGAAGTCGAAAAAAGAGTAGCCCAACAACGCTGCCCGGGCAAGATTTGGAGTTAAAAATCTACCCAAAGTATTTCAGGATCCTCGCTGGTACAGCGGAGTTCGTGCACTGCGTTGAGATTTTTCAGACTTGGGTTAGAAGACTTATGGGTTACTACCCGTGTGCTTTGATGTTGATCTTTTGTTCAAAGTTCAGTTAAGCACCTCTTCACTACATGTCAGCGCTAATCTACAATTTCCTCTTTTCCATTTATCAAATATCCACCTCAGTGGCTAGTTATTTCCCTTTAATGTATTCTCTACATCTAATTATTATCTAATGGCGTCTGTTTCCTGTGTTCAAGCCCCGCCAAGTTGATCGTGGTGGTTTTTCCATAAATCCTTTGATGAAGACTTATGCATTGGAGTAATCTGTGGCAGTGTCATTTGCATTTACCTCAAGAAAACTTGGCATCTCTTCGTTTTCCGGAAATCCTCAGGTCCTGGCTGATACGGGCAAAGGTAACTATTATAAGCTTGCGTCCATTATCTTGCTGAGGTGTGTAGTGCCCGTATGTTTCAGTTATGATTCTGCAGTGAAGTGTCAGCCTGTTTCAGTTATGATACTGCAGTGAAGTGTCCGCCTGTTTCAGTTATGATACTGCAGTGAGGTGTCTGCCTGTTTCAGTTATGATACTGCATTGAGGTGTCCGGTTGTTTCAGTTATGATACTGCAGTGAGGTGTCCGGTTGTTTCAGTTATGATACTGCAGTGAAGTGTCCGCCTGTTTCAGTTATGATACTGCAGTGAAGTGTCCGCCTGTTTCAGTTATGATACTGCAGTGAGGTGTCCGGCTGTTTCAGTTATGATACTGCAGTGAAGTGTCCGGCTGTTTGAGTTATGATACTGCAGTGAAGTGTCCGCCTGTTTCAGTTATGATACTGCAGTGAAGTGTCCGCCTGTTTCAGTTATGATACTGCAGTGAGGTGTCTGCCTGTTTCAGTTATGATTCTGCAGTGAAGTGTCCGCCTGTTTCAGTTATGATACTGCATTGAGGTGTCCGGTTGTTTCAGTTATGATACTGCAATGAAGTGTCCCTCTGTTTCAGTTATGATACTGCAGTGAAGTGTCTGCCTGTTTCAGTTATGATACTGCAGTGAAGTGTCCGGTTGTTTCAGTTATGATACTGCAGTGAAGTGTCCGGCTGTTTCAGTTATGATACTGCAGTGAAGTGTCCGGCTGTTTCAGTTATGATACTGCAGTGAGGTGTCCGGCTGTTTCAGTTATGATACTGCAGTGAAGTGTCCGGCTGTTTCAGTTATGATACTGCAGTGAGGTGTCCGGCTGTTTCAGTTATGATACTGCAGTGAAGTGTCCGGCTGTTTCACTTATGATACTGCAGTGAGGTGTCCGGCTGTTTGAGTTATGATACTGCAGTGAAGTGTCTGCCTGTTTCAGTTATGATACTGCAGTGAGGTGTCCAGCTGTTTGAGTTATGATACTGAAGAGAGGTGTCAGGCTGTTTGCGTTATGATACTGCAGTGAAGTTTCCGGCTGTTTGAGTTATGATACTGCAGTGAGGTGTCCGGCTGTTTGAGTTATGATACTGCAGTGAGGTGTCCGGCTGTTTGAGTTATGATACTGCAGTGAGGTGTCCGCCTGTTTCAGTTGCGCCGCTGGCTGCTAAAAGTGTGAATGGAGTGTTTACTGAAATGCTCTGAGTGATGTGATGCCGACTGTTAGTTCTTATCTGTAGCAAATTCTCAGGGTACGTCATGAGAAGTGAAATGCCGGAGAGCACGCTATAACGTAGAGAACAATGGAGGGGAAGAGAGGGAGACTGAAACCAAAGTGGAGATGTTAGATATTTTGATATCATGAAATAGAGGAGCAATCTGTTTTATATTCTTACCTGTAAAAAAGATGTTGCATCACTCTCCTTCAGTACCTCGATGCAGAACTGCAGAAGTCCTGTTGTCCGTTGTAGCAGAGCTGTACAGTCTGATACCTGTTCCTTCAGAGTTCTGACTTTCATAGCCTTCTCCTCTGCGACGTTCTCTAACAACTCGGCCTTTCGTTGTTTGATGACCTCTATCAGGGCGTCGCATTGGGCGACCACAGCTTTCTCAAACTCCGTACAGTTGCCCTATGGAATTGAACAGTTTATACTCCAACACAAAAACTGAACACTGTAACAATGTAACAATGTCTATAGCCAAAAGCAGCAAATTTAGATGTAGCCAGCAAAACCTCCTACGCCTAGGGTGCAGCCCATAATTTGTAACGCACTATGCAACTGAACTAGGTTTAAATGTGGACTGTTCCACCAAAAGTAAATAGTCATTCTTTAATAAGTGTGGGTCAGGATATACCTATGTGAATCTTATTTAATCTTAAATATATTGGCAGCGTTTTATATTGTAATTTCACTCACATGTGAAAGATTTTTTTGAGTAGCGAAGCTATTTTCCATGGCCAAACCACCGCTTTAATTGGCGGAAGGAATCTTTCCCGCATCTGGTTCGGGGGTGATTTGAACAGTGTTGCCACTTTTGATGATTTACATCCAGATTTAGATGTTTTCCCTTGCATTTAGATAGTGTTTTTGACGTTTAGATGGTAGATGTTTTTCTAGACGTTTTTCATTTGAGGTGAATTTATCAAATCTAACCTAAGAAACAGGATGAAATTTGACCTCTTAAATGCTATCTTGACTATAAAATTCGGCCTGATAAGAGAAGGTAAAGGCTGTTCCACTTATCAGCTCCCTGATTGGGTATTAAAAGAAATTGGAACAGCTAAAGCATTCCAGAGTCATTTTGGATCTTCCTCTTCTTCTTGGCGTTCACCAGCTGTACACTCTGGTGGAAAGTTCTGGTTGCTCGTCCACTACTCAACTGCAGTCCTGCTCCAGAACCTGAGTGTTGCGTGTGCATCTCATTCTCTTGAATACAGACTGTTGGTTCCTTGCCTCTCCGGCAGATGCATTCCGACTTCAAAGGAAGCTCCCCAACTAGTCGACTCTTACGACATGCTTTTGGGGAGGCAGTGGGTCTATTTTTGTTTTACCCACAATGGGGCCCCGGAACCCACACGGGGGATTTTGGATCTGAAGCTTCAACTTCATCATCCAAGCTAAGTTTATCCTGTGGATGTAAGGTATACTTCAGTAAAGAGGAGGACATGATTCTATAGGATAAGTCATATCAATAGCTATGTAATCTGTGATTCTTTCCATTTGGATGTTTTTTCTAGATTTTTTTCACGCAAATATAGATGTTTTTAGATATTTTGGACTCCGTTTTGGATGTTTTTTGTCGAAGAAAAGTGGCAACACTGGATTTGAATCTTAGCGTAATTCTAGCGCAACACCCGAAGCCAAAAGACGGACTGAAAGATCCTCTGCCAACTTCTATAATTCTGCTTTTGAAAATATCCTATTCACTAAGGGACTTTCACGAGAATACGGGAAATATGCTATCTTATCTGGGAGTTGCATCAGAAGCACCACCCAGGTGATTCAAAAGGATACTGCCATCAACCAACTACCGGCTACCAACTACTAGCTACCAAGTTACATTGTCCAGGTATATGTTTTTACCTTGTTTAGTCACCTAGGCAACCTCGTGGGAAGTGACATGTGGTGTCACACATGCTAGAGGACAGCTGGTGGAAATTCATCATCTTTATCAATTGTTTCGACCCCAGGGACTAACCAGCGCAGACCGCCACTGGCCAAAGGCAGAGCTTTTTTTTTTTTTTTGTTCCTTGAACTCTTTTTCAGAATTGTAGCACATATAGTTAAAGGGGATCCATCCCTATACTGCATTCGGACACTTAGTATTTGTATTAGGAGCAGTATATACATGTGGTTGGGCAGATATCTATCTAGTGACCACTGCGTTTAGTCACCTTTTTGAACACTGTGATAGAAAGCCTGTCGGCTCTGTAGCTAAGTCGATGCGAACGCTTCGTAATGCCGGGTTTGATCCAAGCTACGGGCCATGCGCCTTGCGTTGGTTTCGACAGTGGTATCAAGGAAGCCGACAGTCCAGAAAGCAACTAGACGTAAATTTATTTGCCTAGAAAAACCACACAACAGTCAGGGGCTGTTGGGGTTGGTTCTGCAACGTCCTGCAAAGGATACGCAACTAACCTAATAGAAAGCCTGAAGTCACGATCATATCTATTACTGGTGAATTTCTACATATAGGTTGAGGAAAGAAGCTAATTAACTGAGGGTACAGCCATTAGAATTTATTTAGTGTCCCTAGCTTACCATTACCCTCTTATAAATAAAGTGGTGATGACGTCTGACCAAGTTGTGCCCAGGAATATCTAGAAATTATGTGGCTCCAAGTACTTGAGTTACATCATCCCTGGAGTGGTGTTGGATGGTTCTTGGAGCTTCAGAATACAGCCTAGAACAATACGAGCCGCCATCACAACATCGTACCATTTTAGAGTGTCCTATTTTGCTAGGGTTGACCTAAATTTAGACACGTGACAAAATCTTCTTGTGACACGGCTTGAGAAAATACTTAAAAATGCAGTCACCATTTGTGAACTGAGCTTTCCATTTTCGCTTGTCTCCCCAACCCCCCCCCCCCCCCCTTTTTTTTTTTTCAAGGCACCGGACGGCTACATAAAGATTTGATTGCCCTGAGATTAGACAATCTCAATGTGATGGCAGGCCACAGTGGCCAATCTCAGATGTCAAGTTCAGCCTCCAAAGAAGTTATATTTGGGAGGGCCGAGTGGTCTTGAGGCACGGCGTCCATTTGAGTGCTGGAGGCCCCAGGTTCAGGCCCCGGTGAAGGCATGGATTTTTTCACGTGGACTTCTAGCAATTTCCTAGTCTGTGGGTAGTAAGATCGGACACCCGTGGGTAATGTTGAGCACGTACACACAAAAAATCCCTTGGCGAAATCGAAAAGAGTAGCCCTGCCTAACGGCTCTGCACGGGCAAAATTTGGAGTTTAAAATCTAACCAAAATATTTCAGGATCATCACCGGTGCATTGCGCTTACATTCGTGCACTGAGCTGAGAATTTTCAGGCTTGAGTTAAAAGTAGAACGGGGCACTTATGGGTTACTACCAGTGTGCCATGATGTTGATCTCTTGCATAAACCAAACCAAACCAAGAAAGAAGTTTCTAAAGAGCCGATATACGGCAGCAAATCGAGGGCAGTCCGACGAATGGTACAGGAAAACTTGTTGCGGATTAGTGAGGGATAATTCAACAAGGTTTGAGATTTGAACAACGGATCAACATCATGGCACACGGATAGAAACCCATAAGTGCTCCGTTCTTTTTCTAACTCAAGTCTGAGTCCGAAGAAGATCAACACAGTGCACAGGCTCTGTAGCGCCGCCGAGGTTCCTGAAATATTTTGGGTAGATTCAACAAAAAGGAGCAGAACAGACACTCATAATTTCTCATACAAATACTTACACTGACGCTGTCGGCCATCTTCTTCAGCCTCTGAATGAACTCCGTGCCAGACTTGGCTTTCTCGGACAAGGCCTGGAGGTTCTGAGACAGCTCGCTCTGGAAACAAACAGATACAGATATCGGTGAACAGTGATATCCACGACCGATTCTCTCACAATGGCACTAGTGGCGCGCCTTCATACATATTAGCTCACGGAGTACTGAATGTGCTGACAGGTATCCTTCATCTTGGAGGTAATTCATTTTCATCACAAACTTCTTCTTTCTTCTTCTGCTGTAAGCTCTGGCTGAAAATTATGGTTGTTCGTCCACTTCTCGACTCTAGACCTGTTCCACAAACCGATGATGAGTGTCTGTTTTAGGATTTTGAAGTAACAACATTAAACTGATGCTACAGGTGTCATCTGTTTTTCTGTATATGAACCCGTTTCTGGTTTTTTTTTCCTAGTTATTCTTCTTTTTCTTTTCTTCTTCTTCTTCTTCTTCTTCTTCTTCTTCTTCTTCTTCTTCTTCTTCTTCTTATTATTATTATTATTATTATTATTCACCTTCTTCTTCTTCTTTTTCTTCTTCTTCTTCTTCTTCTTCTTCTTCTTCTTCTTCTTCTTCTTCTTCTTCTTCTTCTTCTTCTTCTTCTTCTTCTTCTCCTCCTCCTCTGGTCTATGACAGTGTGGTGTAGGTTCCATCCTTGGAGGACGAAGCTTTCCCGCGTGGGTTCCTTGCCCTCAAACGGAGAAAAAAAGGGAATGTATCTATTGCCCCTAAACTAGCATGTCGTAAAAGTCGACTAAAATGAGGTGTTTCCTTTGGAGTTGGAGCGCATCTGCGCGACAGGCTAGAAACCAACAGTCTGCTTACAGACAAGCCAGACCTGTAAAACAGATGTGCACGCACAACTCAAATTCTGGAACAAGACTAAGATCCAGAAACGGAAACGGACAGTCAAAACTTTCCACCGGAGTTTACTGACGGTGAAGATGAAGAAAAAAAAGAAGGAGCAAAATTTATTATTAAAGAAATACACATTGAGTACACATGTCTGAGTTACTTTTTTCGCGATTTTCTTTAAAAAGTAACTTTTTTGATATTTTTTACTGTGTTTTGCAATGATATCTCAAAAAGTCAGTAGCATACTGCCTCCAAACTTGGCACACCCATAGAAGAATGACATTCAAACAGGCTGAACTAAAATGAATACAGCAGCCTTAATACTTTTACAGTTTTTGTCATCTATGATAAACCTTAACCTTAATTTTTTTGCGAAAAAAAAAAAACACATTAAAGTACCATTGTAGTGAGCATAACTTTTAAACTACAGCTTTAAGTAAATTTTCTTCAGTTCCTAACTTGAAAATATAATGCTGAATCTATGTCCAAATCTTCATTAAGCCACCTTTGTTAGTGTTTTAAATATCGTCGTAAATGTTGAGAAATAATTTGGCTATTTTCTGCATAAAATATGACATTTTCAATCAAAATTCCTGAAAATATGTTGATTTTAGGCCCCGAAATTTATTTTCCTTTAATCTTTATTAACTAGTATGTACCTACAGGAAGTATTGTTTCCAGAGATATAATCAAATTCACTTTGTGGGTTTAACCTATCCTTAAAGCATAGGTATATAAAATAACTGTTCATTCTTATATAACATCTTTACATATAAAGGAAAACTATTAAATTTTTTGAATA